AGAACTGCATCAAATTATTCACAAATATTGAACTTTTATTAGAAATATCTGCATTCATGTCGCCCACAATTAAAAAACAAATGGTAGCATTTTCCTGGATAACAGACATAAGATAACCTTCATGAAGATATTCATCTTCATTCCTGTGAAATTCATAAGATGTGTATATATTGAGAATTATGACCTTCTGATCACCATCACTAAACTCAATTCCAATGGCCCAGTCAATGTTTAATCTGACCAACTTAACCAGCTGATCATACTTTTATGCCATAAGATAGCAACACCAGCAGGTATTCTACCATAAACTATTCCATCACTCAAATCAGTGGTAAATTCGCCCACACTATAAAAGTCTTTATGCAGGAAATTAATTCCTTCCAAGTCTTGCTTCGGTAGAAAAGTCTCTTGAACACACAATACATCACAGTTGGCCAAGAGAGTATTTACAGTTCGGTGTAAGTTGTCCGATTCTTTAGTCCCAACAGGTAATCCACATGCATTGTAAGAGACAATAGTAATACTCATTTAATAATATTGACTCAAGAGTTCAACAGCTCTCCAGCCAAGCGTCAGACACAGTAGGCACCGAATGCTGCTAATGCTCACCAGTACACCCATCTTTGGATTCTCTGGACCTATGGGCCTCGTAGAAACGACGAACAAAAATGCCAGCTGGCCACAGCTGTGGCTTATACATGTCCATCACGTTTTCACATTCAGCAGTGATATGGAACAAACTTTTCTGAGTGGAATCGATTTTGTGAAATGTGACCAGCTTCCCCAGTTTATCAGCCAGATAAGAGCGTAAGGTTTAAGTGTTGAGATTAGGTGCAAATCGTGTTGCAAAAACACTCACCATCATAGTTTGGACCACTGGGATGTTGTCCGCGCTGGTGCCAGTTATTGCCATCTTCTTGCACTGTCTCCGTGATGCACACTCTCCGTTCCTGGGCTTTACAGTTTTGTTTTGATCTTTCCAAGGCTTTCCTATCCCTTTCTTTACCACATTGGTCCAGGGCGGGGATTTAGGCAGGTCCTCCAACAGCTGGACTTGCGAGTGGTGAGCAAATGTCCTCAGCTCCTGTGACGCTTCTTCGCAATGTGCTCATACTACACCGGTCCAGTGCGTTTGACCAGGCATGTCACACTTCTCGACTGTAGTCATCCGGTGATCCAGAGCTGTCTCTACCACTTCCAGGTTCTCATTCACAGTGGCCTAAGTTTCCAAGGTCTTCCTTAGGCGAGACACCGCCAGGCTCCCCTTCTCCAAAACCAACTGATGGAAGTACATCCAGATAGTGTGAAACAAATCTCGGAATGTTTCGGCACACTTGTTAAGCACCCTGAGACGGTCCTTTATGTTGTTAGCATCCTTTTGAGGGCCTTTGTGTTTGATGCAACGAATCGAGGTCGTGCATAACTCAAACAATTGCCACTTTGACTCCTCAATCCACTCAGAGGAGAAATTGTTTGAGGCTAATAAAACAATTTCCTCCTGAGACAAAGTTCTCATTTTTGTAACGATGAAGCTCAGGAACCCATCCTCCACTATCACCTTTCCATCACCAGTTTTATAAATGTAGATTTTGCACTTTATTCGATTATCTGTGCCAGTATGTGACACACACCCATATCGCACCGGCCCCATCTTGCCAAACCACCTAAATCATAGACATTGTCCTGTAAACTGTGGGTGTTTTATTTTGCATGGCGCATTGCTGCCATCTGTTGGACTTTTAGGGAACTGCTTTACTTTTATTTAGTCAGTATGATTGTTTGCTAGCAGTAGAGCCAGGGGTGAAAGTAGTTTTAAATTCTTGGGGGTACTATGACAAAAGTTTGTGTATATTGTTGAGGAAAATAAATATTCTTAGTGTTTAATACAGTTAAATCTTACAAAATGTGAAAAGAGAGGATTAAGCAAGATTCCTTTGGGTAACATTTGAGAGGGCTTTAAGTTAGCCCTGCAGAAATGAATGTCTGTTATCAGGAAGGAACCACGTCATAAATTAACTCTGGCACAAAGGCACCGGAGGAGACATCTCAAGTCATCTCCCTCAGAGACAATAAAACTTAAGGACAAACAAACTAACAACACAATACTAACAATTTCAATTTAATTAGTAGAATACCATTTAGTTAAAATTAACATGACAGGGCCCCAGAGGAACGAATCAGATTTGCTTTTGCAACTCTCCAAAGACGATTTTGCCTTTTTTCTTGCCTTGGCATTTTTTTTTCTTTATCCTATTTGTCTCAGGTAAATGAAGGTCTGTCTTCATGTGTATGAAGTGTCTGTGTTGTTGATGTAATTTTATACTTTTGAATGTTGGAATAAACCCTGAAAATGCATGACAGACATACTCGCACACTGCTCACCCTTAACGGTGTCAGTGGCTGGACAGCAGAAGTGATGAATGTGCATCTGTGGATGTCAGCGTGCCAGACGGATGGCCTCCCACGCAGTTCTCCAAGACTTGTGTTACGACTGGCTCAGGGTCGTAACAAAAACATGAAACCATGCCGTGGTTAAAGTGCACAAACATAAGGCTTTATTAACAAAACAACAATGGATTGTGGAAATCAGCATCAGTGGTGTAATGTGAATGCTTGGATGTGTTGTGTGAATGCATGTGGAAATGTTGAAGTGCCAAAACAAAGACAAAATCAAAGGTGCAACAAAAGGGAAACTGAGGACTGGCCACCAAATATCTCCAGCGGCAGAGTGGACGCTGCGGAAAGCCAGCGACACTGAAGTCGGGGACAGCCAGGTTAAAATACTCTGCACGCCCAATCACCAGATCCGAGTCACCTGCAAAGGGGAGGAGCATAAAGACGGACACCAAGACACCTGCAAAACAGCCCACAAGGCCCAGGGCCGTAACACTTGCCATTGTCATTCTCTCAGCTCAACAAAAACAGCAACTCATTATTCGATAGAGTTCCCTCTGAATATTGCAATTCCCTTATGACAGACAGAAAAGCCTGAACCTTATCATCGTCTACCTCCACACTGGAGGATTCCCAAAGCTTAAACCAGAAACTAACTTCAGCGGCTGCTTCGTCCAAACTATGAAAAACCCAGTGGTGAACCTCTGAATCCATGGGAGCCACTAACTGAAACAGACGTTCTGTCTGAGCGTCCACACAAAGAAATAATCAAGTCAGGTGTTATAGCATTATTTTCTAAAAAAGTTAATAAGCTCACTGATAAACTGCAAGCCATCTTTGTTGCAGCAAAGTAAACTGTGATGCTAATGAACCAATAGGCAGAAGCTGAAGCCTGAAGACAACGCCCCTCATTTGCATTTAAACATTCCTTGCAAAAGGAAAAGTAAAAAGATGACAAAGGAACAAAAGGTTGTATAAGGAAAAGACGACACAAAATATTAGGGCTGCTGTAAATGAATATTTTAGTAATCGAGTA